CCAGCGCCGCGTCAACGAGAACTACCATCCATCTGAGGCGGCCCACCACCCTCCTACGTTGCCTTCTATCCAGCACATGCCCCCTCACCCGTCTGGCCCCAGTCTCCCTCCTATGGCCGAAAGCGCTGCTGCACCTTCTAACGGACCGCCATCCGGACCCTCTTCCGCTCAGGTTCAGGTGAAGGAGGAGCCCGCGCGCGGCGAACAGGCGCCTGCACATGAGCCTGCGGCGCGGAAGATGGACGTGGACGAAAACTACGATGATGACGATGATGAGAAACGAGCTAGTGCTGTGGTGAAGGGAAGCCCGCATGCTGCTGGGTCGAGCAACAACGGCAGCAATGGTGTTCTGAGTGCTGGCAACCCACCTACGCCGGCGAAGCCGGAATCTGCGGTTTAGAAGCTTGTGGTGCGGCACCACTTGATGTATTATGTGAGGTGGATCGATGGGTTTAACGCGGCTCTAAGGAAGGAAGAGTCCGAATGAACGTTTTCGTCATGAGAAGTTACACTGCCCTCGTTTACTCCCCTTCTGTTTCCTTGAATTCGTCTATATATTTCTTTCCGACTTTCGGTGGCAGTTCCGTTCATGTACTGTTTTACCACCCAGGCTTGTTTGTATTGTAGGATTGGCATTTGAGGGGCGGTCTTGATGGTCATTTGTTTCCCAAGTTCTATTCAATTCTTGTGTGCGTGTCTGTGAATGAGTACATCCTGCTAGGTGATATACTCACCTGGGCAGCTCGGAAACCCCAATACATTGATCTACATTCTACTCCATTTCCAATGATGATAATTATCTCCCATGTATAGCAACGATAAAGGTAGCTGAAACAGGTAGATTGCAATGAGACTGGGAGATCAGCCAGACCAGAAAGTTGGTAATGGGCGCGGCGAGCATCAACGGGGGCTACTAAGCGCCAAGTCTCACCGTGCGTTTCAATCGTGGGGACGGTCCTTACGGGGGCGTTTAATTCTGGGTCTGGGACTCCGGTGGATGTCGGGTCACATCCAGGTCAAACGGTTTTCCGTCAGTGATCGTACAGCCTTGAAGCCTGCCGTGTTTCGTTGGCCAACGAAGTCAGCAGTAGGTTCCTGCAAAAATATCGTGTATATAGTGTGCATGGATGGCCTTTCCAACATTGTGGATGGGCACGCAGCAACATACCCTAAGTAGGGCAATGGCGCATACACTTGGAAGAGGGCACTGGATCTGGTAATATTGCCGACCGGGAGAATCGCCCGACAGCAGGAACCTCGTGACCGTGGGTTGTTTCTGCCTGAGGCCTAAAGAAACTCAGGTCTCGGTCCCGTGGTCGCTTAACCCGAATGGGAAATAGCCGCCAAGACTTCGCTTAGATCAGCCCACATTCGTTAAGCGTGCAAAATACGACTTTCGGCAAACTCAGAGATAGACACTCTCACTCACCACTTCGACGACTAACGACAACAGGGTCAAGATGTAAGTTAGGACCTGCCGCATTATGGCAATTGTTGACCTCGAGGGATAATGTCGCTGATTCATTTTATTTTACAGGAGTCACCGGAAGTACGAAGCGCCTCGGCACGGTTCGTCAACCTACTTTGCGACCTCTCAAGCGATATTGGAATCTCGAGGTCTTGTGTTTGGATGGTATACTGACTTGGATTTCGACAGGCTCTCTTGCCTACCTGCCCCGCAAGCGCGCCGCCCGCCACCGCGGAAAGGTCAAGAGGTTAGTTTTTTCGACTGCGAAGACGAGACGAAAAGGTTGGGATTTGATGGACATATACTGAACTGTTCGGCAGCTTCCCCAAGGATGACCCCAAGAAGCCCGTCCACCTGACTGCCACCATGGGCTACAAGGCCGGTATGACCACCGTCGTCCGTGACCTTGACCGTCCTGGTGCCAAGATGCACAAGAAGGAAGTTGTCGAGGCTGCTACCGTCATCGAGACTCCTCCCGTACGTTGGACCCCTTGGTAGGAAGAAGGCAGAAGAAAAAAAATCTTTTTTTTCTGGCCTGGTGATGTGGATCCGTTCAATGACTGACATACTTCGATTCTTTAGCTTGTCGCTGTCGGTGTTGTCGGTTACATTGAGACTCCCCGTGGTCTCCGCTCTCTCACCACCGTCTGGGCTGAGCACCTGAGCGACGAGGTCAAGCGCCGCTTCTACAAGAACTGGTACAAGAGCAAGAAGAAGGCTTTCACCAAGTACGCCAAGAAGCACGCCGAGGAGAACGGTGCTTCCATCACCCGCGAGCTCGAGCGCATCAAGAAGTACTGCACTGTCGTCCGTGTCCTCGCCCACACTCAAGTCCGCAAGACTCCCCTCAAGCAGAAGAAGGCCCACTTGATGGAGATCCAGGTCAACGGTGGCTCCGTTGCCGACAAGGTTGACTTCGCCCGCAACCTGTTCGAGAAGCCCATCGAGATCGACTCCATCTTCGAGAAGGACGAGATGATCGATGTCATCGCCGTCACCAAGGGTCACGGTTTCCAGGGTGTCACCAGCCGTTGGGGCACCAAGAAGCTTCCCCGTAAGACTCACAAGGGTCTGCGTAAGGTCGCTTGTATCGGTGCCTGGCACCCTAACCACGTCCAGTGGACTGTTGCCCGTGCTGGTCAGATGGGTTACCACCACCGTACCTCTTGCAACCACAAGGTCTTCCGTGTTGGCAAGGGTTCCGACGAGGGTAACGCCTCCACCGAGTTCGACATCTCCAAGAAGCAGATCACCCCGTAAGTAGCCTATACCTGAAGGTTGAGAAGCATTGACGCTAACGAAACAATCCAGCATGGGTGGCTTCGTTCACTACGGTGAGGTCAAGAACGACTTCGTTCTCCTTAAGGGTTCCGTCCCCGGTGTTAAGAAGCGTGTCATGACCCTCCGCAAGACCCTGTACCCCCAGACCAGCCGCAGGGCCACCGAGAAGATCGAGCTCAAGTGGATCGATACCTCCTCCAAGTTCGGTCACGGTGCTTTCCAGACCCCCGAGGAGAAGCGCGCCTTCATGGGTACCCTCAAGAAGGACCTGGAGACTTCCGCTTAAGGTGTTTATGGCAATGGTTCGGTGTAGTGCAAATTATATTACGTTTCAATAAAAGCGAAGAATACCTTTCACTTTTTCCTATGGTGTCACGGTAGTTTACGTAGCAATAATAATGTGTTGGATTTAACTGTTATCTGCCTCGACCACTGCAGTATAGAGACCTCAAAGAAAAAAAAATCTTCAAGAGAGGTATTTGCCTACTACCCAAGGCATGGTGTGTGCGTAAACTCCGATGCAAATTTTCCTCGATCGGGTCGCCATATCCCGTTCAAGACAACCAAGATCAGGGGCTCTGCCAAAACACCTATCCATCCTTCGACCCTTTCACTGGCTGCTTATCTGAGCTTGTTCCACTCTATCCTTCTAGAAGCCATCCATCCATTCATTCATTCCCTCTGTTGCCCATCTCAGCACCAATCAGATGACCGCCGCAAGTCTGCGCCGCTGGCCGCTCAGCCGCACTGGCCATTGCGTCATTGATCCCCTCGTGCCTTGGGCTTCAATTCCCTCATCTTCTGCTCGCCCCTCATTAATTCAGCTCCAACAATCTGCCCAGATTACTCGATCATATCACCAGCACCGCTGCCATCAGTATTCATCTCGAACCCATATCCAACGCAGTCCCTACAATCTTTCCACAACCACAAAACCAGCATCCAACTTCAACACCATCAGCATCATCACCCCTCCTCCCACCCGCACCATGTCTTCCGACAACGACTACATGTCCTTCCTGAACAAGGCCAACGCAGACCTCAATGCCAGCCAATTCCAGCCCCAACGAGACGACACTTCTTCCACCCCACGCACCCAAACCATCCACACCAACGTCCGCGTCCCCACGCCCCTCACCTCCGTTGATGCCTTTTACGTCTCGGAAACAGATGAGCCGTTTGAACCCGTTGCTTTGAAATGGCCTGATGCGGGGCGGGGGATCTGGCCTGATGCAGGTGAGCTGCCTGTTCTGAGTGTACTGGATCGATCATAAGCTAATGGGAAAAATGTGATAACAGCTGCTCTCTCCAACCTTGTTTCTCCTGACGCAGACCTCTCCAACTCCATTGAGACATTGACATTCTCGACGTTCGACCCGAAGAATCAGTATTCCGGGGTGGTGAGGGCAGTCCGGGCTGCCGTGGGGGATGAGGAGGGCGCGGCTGTCAAGGTCTATCGGGTTGAGGTAGCCAGGTCGAGAGTGGAGTACTTTGTTTTGGCGCTGGATGGGACAGAAGGGTTGGTTGTTGGGTTACGGGCTAAGGCTATTGAGACTTAAGATTGTATCTAATTTGTTGCATTGATTATGGGTGGTTCAACTTGGAGTAATGGGTGGATGACTTATGTGAGAAGACTAGTAGTGTGTTGAGGCAATAACATGCTTTGAGAATGACGTTACTTATATCGATATGAGCAATAGTAATATAATTATATGCCAATTTTTCCTACATTCTAGAAACGCCTACGTGCAGTAGTGTCCTAGCCCTAACGCTCATCAATTCACCACTCTGACCGTTAGCGCCATTTGCACACTAGCAGTAGCTAGTATAACTGGGCCAGCCATCTGTATATCTATATAACAGCTCTGAACCTGCCCAACCCGCCACCAATATGCGGTCTGGTGTTACGAACAACTGCGCCGGAGTGAATCTCTTCACTGTGCCTCAGTAATTGCATCATGATGCATCGGAACGATTGACACCCGGGCGATTGGAGCATAAAAGCTCATTCACGGCTATAAACAGAATGCCCTATATGGCAGCAGGATGTGTTAGATTAAGTATATAGAAAGTTATACAAGATGAAGTCCTTTTGTCTCATCCATTACATCTATCCTCTCCGTTGTTCTCTTCGTCTTCGTCGTCGTCGTCCTTTGCTCCTCTCATACATACAAAGCACTACATCAATCTCAACAACCTCAGTCCTCTCTACCATCCAACCCTTACTACTATAAGAACAACCATACACATAATGGAACCACACAATCCAACCATGAACCAAACATTGGCACAGCCCATGAATCAAACTATGAACAACAATCACCAAGTTCAAACCCCAACCCATCCTCAAGTCCAGCCTCAGATCCAACCTCAAACCCATCCTCAAACTCATCCTCAAACTCATCCTCAAACCCATCCTCAAGTCCAGCCTCAAGTCCAGCCTCAAGTCCAGCCTCAAATCCAACCTCAAATCCAACCTCGAATCCAATCTCAAATCCAACCTCAAATCCAACCTCAAATCCAACCTCAAATCCAACCTCAAATCCAACCTCAAATCCAACCTCAAATCCAACCTCAAATCCAA